GCAAGTTGCTTCAATAACAAACATCCCAAAAAAATCAAAGCAAACGAGAAATTTCTGAGTTTACTTGTAAGAAATTTCTAGTTTTTTTTTTACTTTCAAAACTTAATAATTTGCACCAATTCATGACTGTATATCAACATAAAAACCACAGGTATCAATGCAAAGTTGTCAAGGCGATAACAACGTCGGCATTCTACTGATATAAAAATTCATGCAACTTAAGCTTTTCAAACAACCGTAGCCAGTTCCTGTACTCCTTTTATGGCACAGTACTTACCGCATAAATGAACAATCTCAATATCTTCAAGAAAACAGTAATCAACAAGCTTCATTTCTGGAGAATAAAACAGAGACATTTAACTTTACATTTAAGCCATCTAACTTTTTTCATAAAATTCAAAATGTGTGGTTCAGTATTACCGTCCAGTAAAGATGTTTTCCATCTCTACATAAATCTCGGAGGAAATTACTCCAATCTTCTACTTGTAGCTTCTAATTCTGCATGACATTGTTTTACACCCTCACCAGTATTCAGAGAGCTTTTTTAAATTATTTAATGAACATCTCACAGAACTGCAACTTTTTCATTAAGTTGATAATAACAACGCTCAAAAATATCCCCAACCCTTTCTTTGTTCCCTCCTCCTTCCGTCATTGAAATCCATGTTGAAATTTCAGCCCATATAGCACTTTTCTCACGCAGGAATGTCGACAAATGTAAATGTTCAGAAAACAATTCCCCGCGCCAGTGGAACACCAAAAATTTATGTTATTCTACCATTGCCAGCAGGGAAGACCTTCCAGAAAAATCTTCCTTTCTGATTGTTACAATGGAGGTTAAAATTTACGAAGCATAGAACGATGGAATACAGGCGACTTATTAGAAGTCAGCACAGTAACGAATTGCAACCATTTTTTCTTTTTGCATGACAAATAGATCTTCTCCCAAAGAAATGTCGTGAACATTCATAATCGTCAGCCCCGGTTTTTAGAAGCAGGATCTGCTACTCGCGATAATTCCATTTTCAAATTACAAGCGACTACTGTGACGACAGTGAAAA